ATTTATTAAATAAAAGTTAAAAAAATTTCTTGGCCGGCGCCGCGGCTCACTAGGCTAATCCTCTGCCTTGCGGCGCCGGCACACCGGGTTCTAGTCCCGGTCGGGGCGCCGGATTCTGTCCCGGTTGCCCCTCTTCCAGGCCAGCCCTCCGCTGTGGCCAGGGAGTGCAGTGGAGGATGGCCCAAGTGCTTGGGCCCTGCACCCCATGGGAGACCAGGAAAAGCACCTGGCTCCTGGCTCCTGCCATCGGATCAGCGCGGTGCGCCGGCCGCAGCGCGCTGGCCGCGGCGGCCATTGGAGGGTGAACCAACGGCAAAGGAAGACCTTTCTCTCTGTCTCTCTCTCTCACTGTCCACTCTGCCTGTCAAAAAAAAAAAAAAAATTTCTTTTTATGTGAGAGTTTGCTTTTTTTTTTTTTTTGCTGCTTTTGAAGATTCTTTGTATTTGATCTTTGACAATTTGATTATAATGTGTCTCAATGTAGATTTGTTTGGTGCTCTTTTGGACTTCTTGAATCTGGATGTCCAGTTCCTTCCATAAGGATGGTTTTCAGACATTGTTCCTTTAAATAGGCTTTCTGGCCCCTCTTACAATTTTCCTTCTAATATAATTTTTTAAATATTTATTTATTTGCAAGACAGAGTTAAAGAGAGAGCAGTCTTCCAACTGCTGGTTCACTCCCTAGATGCCTGCAATGGCCGGAGCTGTGCTGATCTGAAGCCAGGAGCTTCTTCTGGGTCTCCCATGTGGGTGCAGGGGCCCAAGGACTAGGGCCACCTTTTACTGCTTTCCCAGGCCATAACAGAGAGCTGGATCAGAAAAGGAGCAGCCAGGACTAGAAACAGCATCCATATGGGATGCCAGCACTTTAGGCCAGTGCTTTAACCTGCTGTGCCACAGCACAGGCTCTCTAATATAAGATTCAACCATATATTAGTCTTCTTGATGGTATCCCTTAAGTTTTATTCACTATTTTTCATTTTTTTTCTCACATCACTAGATTCCAGTGATCTACCTTTGAGTTTACTTATCCTTTCTTTTACTTAATATGCATTGATGCTAACCCTTCTAATGATTTTTTTCAGTTCTGCTATTGTATTCTTCAGCTGTATGATCTTTGTTACTTTTTTCAAGTTTTTTGTTAATTGAAACTCTCACTTTGTTCATCCTTTATTTTCTTGAGTAAGCATTGTCATGAACACAGTTATTTGTAATTCTGTGTCAGTTGAATTGTATAAATTTGTGTCATTGGGGTTGGTTTCTGGTGATTATATTGTTCATCTGTTTAGAACATCTTTGATTCTTCAATTCCCTTGACTCTCTGTGTTGGTGTATGTGAATTAGACAAAGTAATATTTTCTCCTAGTTTTCGCAGAGGTAGGGTCTCTACCTGCTGTTTTCTACCCCGTGGAGAAGAAAGCAGCTATACTTTTTGTCTTTGTACTCTGTGCTAAGCCAGGTGGAGTAGCCATGGCACCAACAGCACGAACCACCACCTCAATCCTCCTCAGGGCAGCTAAATTTTTGCCAGACTTATCAGAACTTCAAGTCTGGTGAAGCAGATGCTAGTTTTTTGAAGTTGGGGTATTAGACACACAGATCAACTCTTTCTATTGAAAAGGGCAAGCTGAGAGGTAGGTTTTTTCATTTGGTCTTTGTACTGAGCAGGGAGTAGGACCAATGGTGTCTACCAGCCCAAGTTACTGGCTCTGTTCTTCCTTGTGCATCTAGACCAAATCAGACCTGTCAGAGCTTAAATGCTAATCCTCTGGAAAGCCCTTTTGAAAAACTGAGGTGCTAGATTTATGCACAAAGTCTTTCTCTCCCCCTGAATGTAGGTGGATGTTAGGTTATCTCTTTCTGATCAGAGGTAGGGTCTACAGTGAGCGTCCTGAGTAGCCTCATTGTCTTTTGTTAGTTTACATTCATGTTCTGCTGTGGTACAAGAACCTTTCAATTAGTTTTTGATTTTTCATGAAGAGAATTTGCACAACTTGTAGCTGCTTCAATGTTTTTGTGGGAGAAGGAAGGCTCAGACTTTCTATTGTACTATCTTGCTAACATCATCTCTTTTCCATTGATTTTAATTAAATTCAATACATCCACAGTTTTGTTTTTGTGCAAGTTTTATCAGGTTTAGTTATCATTCTTATAGTTGCTTCATAATGTAACTTGGGAATTCCTTTCTTGAAACTATATTCAGAACAGGAATCGGCACTTTTTTTTTCTGTAACAGATCCGACAGTAAATACTTTTAAGCTTTCTAGACTACATAATCCCCAATAAAACTTTACTTATAATATCAAGTGACAAGCCAGATTTGTCCATAGTTTGGCAGGCACTGATTAAGAACAGTTTTGTTCATGTAGCATTCAGATTCTCTAGTATGTAAAGATATACCAAAATTTCCTGGTAAAACTACCTGGGTCTAGCACTTTTGATGGAAGTAGCAATGTAGTAATTTTCTCATTTTCATAAACTTTTTGTCTATACTGGTACCAGCATTGATAAGTTAACCCAAAATTACTCATTTAACTGAGGCTTTTAAATTTATATGTTCTCATAAAATAATTTAATTTGAATGTTTAAATATTTCCTTAGTCTTGGTGTATTACTCCCTTTTTAATGTATTATTTAGTGTGACTTTGTTTTCTCCCTATTTTCTTGAGTAAGCCAGGTCATGATTTTCCTAATTTTATGTTTTATTTGGAGAACTTACTTGTTGATTGATCTATAAGAATTTGAAAATTATATTTCTCCATACTAAAAACAGGTCACACCACTTGGTAAGCCTTTTGGGATAGTAGTTCATGCTTTAATTTAGAGAAGCTCCTGCATACCCCTACCATAAGACCCTATAATCATTACATATGGAGCAGGCCCTCAGATTTTTGTGGTATTTACTTACTATCATGTGACACATGAGTCAAATGAATTATATAGGTACTTACTACTTTTGCTCACAGGATCCAATTAATATTATATAACCTACCAATTGTACTGGTATACTTTTTACAGAATGTCCAGAAATCAAGTTTCCAGATGATTATACAAGGGGGTTCTTCAAAAGGATCATACAAAAATTGGAATTAAAAGGTATGTTATGGATCAAACAGGACTTGGCTCCCCAAATATATGCAGATGTTTAAACTCCCAAGCCTCATATTAATGGTTGCTGAATCAGGGTGGAGACTTCATCTACTTATGATCTCTGAGAAGTGGGCATGTAAAAGACCTTTAAGTCATTTGAGTCCTACCCTCAGAAGACAGTTCTAGTGAGAGAATTAGTTATTAAAACTGAATTTTGCCTATCTTCTCTCTCTGCTTCCTTCCTAAGAGTCTTTCTCAGGTTTTTTTTTTTCCAGGTGTCTTAACTAATGAAAATCCAACTGAAACAATTAAGTTTATTTTGGCACAAAAATCTTGAAATCCATGATTTTTTTTATTATATAATCTTCCACAAACTTTTTGAAGATACTTTGATTATGATAGAGAGCTGGAAAAATAAAACAGCTTTAGGGGAAGGCTGATATTATATCTCTGCCCTTTCCTTTAAAAAACGATTTACTTACTTATTATTAGGCAGAGATAGAGGTAAAGAGAAAGAAAGGGAGAGGAGTGAGTAAGAGTATGAGTGAGTGAGTGAGTGTGTGTGTGCATGTTTATGTGTATGTGAAGGGGGGGAAGAAAAAGAGATATTCTATCCACTGGTTCATGCTCCAAAAGTCCCCCACACCCCAGTACCCAAGTCTGGGCCAGGCTGAAACCAGGTCTCTCCCATGGTGGGTGAAGGCTTAAGCACTTGAGAAATCATCTGCTGCCTTCCCGGGTACATTACCGGAAAGCTAGATAGGAAGTGCAGCAGCTGGGTTTACATATAGCGCTCTGATACAGGATGCTCACATGGCAAGTGCCTGCTCTCTGCTGTCTCTTCTTATGAAATCAAGCTTTGATCCTCTCATTGATGGGTATTAAGAAAAAAATATTTCACTACACTAATAACTATAAAGTACCATAGACTATGCTGAAATGTACACATAAATTTATCAATCATCCACTTTGATTTTTTAAAAAAATTCAGACAATGGAATTCAACAAGCATGTACTGGTGACTACTATCATCAAATCATTCAAATATAGTTGTGATAATTTTTGCAACTCCTTCAGAGATGCAGTATGACTTCTGATTATTATCTTAGCAGAGACAATTTCAAGAGTTTTCATTTTCCCTTCCTACTATAATGCTTATAATTACAATGTCAGGAAACCAATGAGTATTATTCCAGCTACAAAGCCTATCTGTCCAAATTATATGTTTGGAGAAAATAATTGGGTATATTTGCATACCTAGTGGATCTACTGTGAACTCAGACGTGGGCCCAAACTCCATTTATCACCTGGTTACTTGGTATACATTGCCTCAAATTAGAGGACCACAATTGCTCTTTGGATCTTCTGGTATCAATATCTGCTCTGACCCTGTAGCTGGCCATCCTGAAAAAGTAGTAAGTTACTCATGAAAATAACCACAAATGCTCCTACAATTACTTTGTACTTATGTGTGCATTTCAGGATCCTTCTTCAGGAGCAACTGGCTCCTCTTAATCAGTGGATTCCCTATCTGAACCTGACTTATACCTGGAAAACCTGATAATGCTGTGATTTTCCATATTGATAGTTAATGCTAAAAGTTGAACTGGTCTTAATTTTCTTCTAATTATTCAAACAACATCCCAGCCAACTGCCTACCTAATTTTGCTCCTAGAAACAATATACTGGCAATCAGCATAGATTCCTGTACTGGTACTCCAGTGTTGCTGCTTGTTACACTAATTATAATCAGATCTCCAAGATAGTTAAATATTGCACCTGGCCTCTATCAATCCATGATCTTTAACTCCAATATTATGGAGCCTAACTCTCTGCCATAATCTCTTGCTTTCAACAAAGACCTAAAAAGGATAACCTCTTCCAATCTTCTCAAATATGCTCATACATGCCTTTCCACAGCATTTCTGTTAGGTTAAGTGAAGTCAGGTTTCTTGAGATTCTCCTAGAGAACACAAAGAGGAAGTGAGTTTCCAGGACAAACACCTTGTTTCATTTTAACATTTTCATCTCTTTGAGTCTTCTGATCCCTGATTTAATACTATACCAAAAGGATTTGATATCCCTACTTTATTTACTATATGCTTTTTTAAATCCAGACCTCAAGGATCCATCACAGCAAATTACTAGTACTGATTCAACTGCCTTTGCTGAGCCATTAAATTTCAAATCACGGAGAATGGTCCCATGTAAACTCTCATCTATTAAGCCTCTAAGTTAAAACCATTAACAATTACTACCAAACACATTTCCTTGTACACTTATAGTGCTATGAAGGTCCTCAATTTCTTTGGTGGCTGTTCTGTTTCTTTCATATTGGCTCTCATCACAGGAAAAGACATGCTTCTATGTTAGATTACTTTGAGATCTGATCCTGGAAGTATTAATATAGGGGATGTTCTTGTGAATATAAATATCATACAAAGAAACTACCTCAAATAACATCATTCCAGTCTCCCAGTACAAAGAAATCGATGTTTTAAGTGCATATTTTGGTCAAGTGCATATTTTATAATATTTTAACACTTATCTATACAAATGTCAATCTCAGGTGTAGTGGTTGAATAGTCTCCAAACTGTCATGTCCATGCAGGACCTCAGAACCCAATCTTCTTTGGAAATAGGGTCTTTTCAGATATAATTAGATAAAGATCTCAAGATGAAATCACCTGTGTTTAGAGTGGACTAGAAATCCAAAAATTGATGTTTTTATAAGAAGAGACGATAATAGAGACATAGAGAATGCCACATGAAGATGAAGGCATCTGGAGTCACACCGCCACAAGTCAAAGACTATCAGAAGCCACATGAGCTGGAAAAGGCAGAAAAGGATCCTAGCCTAAAGCCTTCAGAGGGAGCATGACCAACCAACCTCATGATTTTAGACTCCTAGACTCCAAATCTATGAAAACATTAATTTCTGTTGCTTTAACTAACCTGATTTATGGTAATTAGTTATTAACTGTCCTAGGAAACTAACATACCAGGTGATAGGATCATATTCATTCCTTATCAGGGCTCTGACTTCAACAAAGCTCTGCATGTCTCCATAAAAATAGAACCTGGGCCTACTTTTAGTACAGTCTGTTCTAGAGCTGCAAGCAGTAAGAATTCCTTTAAAGCTATCTTAAAGTGTCCCTGATATGCACTAAATAAATAATTAACTGCTCTGAGCTGTAAGCAGAATGAATTCCCCAAAACGTTGACACCTTAACCCTCAACACCCCACCAAAAAAAGATTAATCTAATCAAGGATTTGATTTGATTAAGTATTCAATGTTGGAAGAAATATACTGGAATATCCAGGTGGGCCCAATCAATTCATGTGAATTGAGAGATTGATTGAGACAATGATGTAAGAGAGATGCTACATATTGGCTTTGAAGATGGAGAACAGAAAGGGGATTACAAATCAAGAAATACATGCAGCCTCCAAAATAAGTAATGAATCAGATTCTTTTTTTAACTACCAAAAAGGAATGCAACCCTGTTGATACCTTGATTTTAGGTAGTGAGACCTGTGTTGGACTTCTGACCTATAGAACTGTAACATAATAAATTTGTGTTGTTTTAAGCTACTAAATTTGTGATTGTTTATGTTGGCAATAGAAAACAAAAACATAGCCATTAAAGGAAGCTATTTTATACCACTATGATCATAAATGCTATTTCTATGTACCAATTAAGCACCACAAATATTTGATCTCTTGTTGTCTTATCTTTCTAGAAGTCCCCAATTAATATTAGGAAAATGTTCAAGTAGCTGATGTTACCACATGGCAGGGTTTAATATCACTCAACTTGGCACCTTCAAGAGATTTTTTGATTTTAGACAGGAGACAATCTAACTCCAAAATTAGATCCTGAGAGTCTAAAATCTAGACTAGGGTCAACAAAACTTTTTATGTAAAAGACATTTCAGGCTAGTTGCTCAAATCTGTTCAACTTTGCTCTTATAGCAAGAAAGCTTCCAGAGGCAATATTTTAATGAGCATGGCTGTGTTCCAATAAAGCATTTTGCAAACAGGCATCAAACTAGTTTTGGTTCAGTTTCTAATACTTGATTTAAAACAGTTTTGGTAATCATTATTTTAACCATCGTTCTGTAGCTGGGCAAGGGGTGGAGTGGGGGTCCTGAGGCAAGTCTTAAGTGCTAATGTTTCATGGAGAAGTACAATATCAGAGTTCCAACAATAAAGGAAAAATAAAATGAAGAAGTAAAACAAAGATAATGTATTATCACACTAACCACAATTTCATGGGGAGAAGCAGAAGAGATACTAAGTCACTTAGCAGGTGTATCATCAGCATTTACTTGCAAAATGTCTCTAACAGTTTATATGGAAAAGCTATGACTCAAAACAGCTCAATCATAAGGGAGGAAGAATTTACTTTTCATCTGATATTGATCAAAGTTTTCTCAATTTCAAGTCATGTCCTTTGACCCATTTGGTTGTTAGGGAAGTCGGATCACCTGCCTTCTGCTGTGGCACATATTCTGAATCCAGAATTATTAGCAGGAGCCAAAGACCTGGGCATAGATAGTCAACTTCAGAAAGTTAACTTTTTGAAAGTACAAAGTAGATTAATTCTGACAAACATGAAAGCAAGCAGCTAGAGAATGGGAACATGAAAAGCTGAGAGAATCTGAAAATGTGCACTCATTTCTCTATTCAGAACAAGCATCTCTCAGTCATAAGCATCCTCTTATTTGACATACCAATGTGAGGTTAACAAAGGATATTTTGGGAGGAATGTCTATCTTCTGATTCCCTGATACTATCTTGTTTCTGTAGGAAATTTATCTTCAGTAATTTGTTACTTCTTTCACTTTACCAGCAAAGACTTGAACACAATGAGTCAAAGAGATACCTATACCACTATGTTTACAGTAGCACTGTTCACAATAGCCAAAATTTGGAATCAACCAAGGTGTCCATCATCACATGAATGAATAATGAAAATGAATGTATCCACAATGGAATATTACTCAGCTATTAAAAAAAGGAATGACATTGAATTATTTGCAACAAAATGGACAGTACTGGAGGGCATCATGTTGAGTGAAATTAGCCAGACCCAGAAAGACAAATATGCATGTTCTCCCTTATTTGTGTGAGCTAAAATTTAAAAAAAAAAAAAGAAAAAATAAGTGTCTGTGTCTATAGTATTGCTGCAAATATAGTTTTGTGTAACTTTTATAACGTTTTCAAACCAATGATTAATAATGTTATACTACTGTAGTTTTAATGATCTCTGATTACTTTAAAACTTACTGTATACAGATGAAATGGTCATTTTTCCATTCAAGCCATTGTCTGTATTCCCACTAAACTAGGGTCTCTGCTTTTTACTTGTTAAACTTCTTAGTGAATTATTAAGCCTTTTTACTATAATGTAAATTTAAAAGATGTTATCTCAAAAACTAAAAAAAAAAAGAGATTGGAGTAGGAAGGAGGTTGGGAGGGAGAGAAGGGTAAAGAGGAAGGGAGGGAGAAAGAGAATACCATTATGTTCTCATAATTTTATCTACAAATTACATTGAATCTGTTAAAACTGAATAAGATAAGTAAAAAAATCTATACAGGGATCTTCAAAAAGTAAATGAAAAATGTGCATTATGGTAAAACTATACAAGGATTTCAAAAAAAATTTACACCAAATAAACTGAAGTATAAAAAAGAAAGGAAAAACTCAAAGAAAAGCCAGAGTGAGTATACAATGTTCATGGATACACCACCAGTATCTTAAAATGTACATTTTCTCTGACATTATATGTTCAAATTTCAAACAAAATCTGAAATGGGCATTACATGGAGTTTGATAAGCTGGTCTTAGAATTCAATCACTAGAATAAAGGTTCAGAACTAGCCAACATCACTTAGAAGAAGAAGGGGGACCTGTTTATCAGATACAATGTATTGTTAAATCAGACTAACAAAGTGAGTAATCAGTACAATAACAAATAATGCAACAAAAGAGAAAGTGCAGAAGAGCCACCCAAATATGGGATACTGATATGTGATTGAGGTGTTTTAAAAATCAGTGGAAAACGGATTATCTAATAAATGAATTCTTTATATGTATAAAATCAAAGCATACCCCTATATCAAACCTACATAAAATTATATATAGATTTATCCTAATTTTGAAATACAAAGTTTTAAAACTGATAGAAAAATAAGGTTGTATTTTCTCACATGAAGGGAAAGATTTAGTAAGTAAGAAGAAGCAGGAATCAATTGAAAGGACTGATAAAATTGAATATACTAAAAAAATTCACGTGACAAAATATTATTAATCAAAAAAATACAAAGAATAATTTATTCAAAATTACATGCTAATAAGGATTAGAGGGAAAATTCAAATGCATGTTGTTCTCAAGCCAATTTTCATTCATCTTACAAGTCTATTTTAATTATACAATTAGCACATATTGTATTATTTCTTAAAATTATTAACAGCACATGAAAATTAAATACCTTTATCTATTTCCCCAAATTCCAATCTCCAGTTTCCTCCCTAGATTAGCATATAATATTTCAGGCACTTTTTCTTGGAAATTTAAACACAGCAACATAAATGTAAATGTAATGTTCAGTGGTTTTATATCTTAAAATACAACTCTTTTAGCTTTTATTTAGTAAATAAAAATTTCCAAAGTACAGTTTATGGATTGCAAAGGCTTTTTCCCCCCATAACTTCCCTCCACCCACACCCCTCCCATCTCCCGCTCCCTCTCCCATTCCATTCACATCAAGATTCATTTTCAATTCTCTTTATATACAGAAGATCAATTTAGTATATATTAAGTAAAGATTTTATCAGTTTGCACCCACACAGAACATAAAGTGTAAAATACTGTTTCAGTACTAGTTATAGCATTAAATCTCAATGTACAGCACATTAAGGACAGAGATCCTACATGAGGAGTAAGTGCACAGTGACTCCTGTTGTTGACTTAACAAATTGACACTCTTGTTTATGGCGTCAGTAATCTCCCTAGGCTCTAGTCATGAGTTGCCAAGGCTATGGAAGTCTTTTGAGTTCGCCAGCTTCGATCTTATTTAGACAAGGTCATAGTCAAAGTGGAAGTTCTCTCCTCCCTTCAGAGAAAGGTACTTCCTTCTTTGATGGCCTGTTCTTTCCACTGGGATGTCACTCGCAGAGATCTTTCATATTGGTCTGTCTGGTTGGTTGTTTGTTTTTTTTTTTTGTTTTGTTTTTTTGTTTTTTTGCCAGAGTGTCTTGGCTTTCCATGCCTACAATACTCTCATGGACTCTTCAGCCAGATCCGAATGCCTTGAGGGCTGATTCTGAGGCCAGAGTGCTATTTAGGACATCTGCCATTCTATGAGTCTGCTGTGTATCCCACCTCCCATGTTGGATCATTATCTCCCTTTTTTATTCTATCAGTTAGTATTAGCAGACACTAATCTTGTTTGTGTGATCCCTTTGACTCTTATTCCTATCATTATGATCAGTTGTGAACTGAAATTGATCACTTGGACTAGAGTGAGATGGCATTGGTATATGCAACCTTGATGGGATTGTATTGGAATCAAAATGTGTTCAAGAACTTTTCACCATATGCATGTATCAGATATTTAGACTGCTTATGTATTTTGTAACTTTAGTCACAAAAATATATGTCTACATCAGATTTTCTAATTATAACAAAATGTTTAAGTAAATACATGACTACTTTGTTATTTAATATTAATTATTACTACCAAAACTGAAAAAAATTAATGATTTTGATAATCATATTGTTCATTTCAAATGTAGGATATCTGGAAATCAAAGTTGTTCTATACGTCAACTTCCTCAAGATTCCAGAATCAAATATCAATTTAGCTCTGGGTGACGCTAAATACTTAATTTGAGAACATGATTAGTATGAATCATTTATTCATTCATTTACTCATTCATTTATTCATTCATTCAGCAATTGTTAATTTTTGAATAACACCAAATACTATGAACTGGGTAGATGTTAGGTATAACATAACAGTAAGAAACACTTTTTTTCAAGAATGAGGAAAACAAAAGGAAAAATAGTATTATAATACTCACTTTCCCTTCATCTCTTGGACTATCACTTAAATGTACAACTGGTCCTGGATGAGTCTTGGTGGACCTGTTAAATCAATTCAAATGTGCAATTAATAAATAAACTTGAAAATATCTTACCATTAGAGACTGAAACAAAAAATTCAGATAATCATGGAATAAATCACTAAAATTCTGAGTTAAATTCATTTGAGTGGTTTTCTTTATGCAGTATTTTTCTTTCTCCTATTAACAGTATTGAAGTAGTTGTGACTTTTTTAAAATCAGGATTAAGAACAAAGATTCACGTGACACTGCAACTGCTCATTATCTTATATGTTTATTCTAGATATGGGCCTCTGAAATTTTTAAACTGAGTTTTAATTTTTATAGACAAAAGAATACAAGGGTGATATAAATCTGTTTCAACCAAACTGCAAAGTACATATTGATTTAAAGTTTCCTGTAAAGTGAAATACCCTCTGATTCATCCCTAAAGGAAAGTATTGTTCACCATTGCAAAGATACAGAATCAACCTAGATGTCCATCAACTAATGACTAGATAAAAATAATATTATATATATCCATGGTGAAATAATACTTAATCATAAAAAATCCTGACATTTGCAACAAAATGGATAGGATCATTAGTCTAAGTTAAATAAGCAAGACACAAAAAGACAAACTCTACATGTTTTCTGTTATATGTGAAAGTTAATAATATAAATAGTATTAAAAAGCTGTCTAGGGGCTTGGCACTGTGGCAAAGCTTAAGCCTCCACTTGTGGTGCTGGCTCCCACAAGGGTGTCAGTTCATGTCCCAGCTGTTCCTCTTCCAATCCAGCTTTCTGCTAATGACCTGGGAAATTAGTGGAAGAGGGCCCAAGTGCTTGGACTCCTGTATCCATGTGGGAAACATAAAATAATTTCCTGGCTCCTGGCTTCAGGTTGGACTGGCCCAGCTCTGGCTGTTGCAGCCATCTGGAGAGTGAACCAGCAGATGGAAAACCTCTGTCTCTGTCTCCCTCTGATTACATCTTTGCCTTTCAAGTAAATAAATAGATCTTTTTTTAAAGAAGTTGTCTGGATGCCATATTATTTAGTGTATAAAGATTTACATGTGTTATCTTGATTTAATTACACTCTTAAATAATATACTTCTTTCCTTACTTTATGACCCTTGTCATAAATTAATACCCCTGCTACCAAGGAAGATAATATGTATATGATATTTATGAAGTGAATATTGCAAGATGTTAAAAGCTGTTAAATCTACTTGTGCTCAGGGAACTTTTCTTTATATTTTCTGTATTATTAAATATTTTAAAATAAAAATTAACAAGATAAAAACATGAAAGAAAACTACAGTTTCATCTTTGCTCTTAAGAGATTTACTCTGCTGACAGTCATCTTACAGAGAACTGACAAACTATGGAAACCTAGTTCATCAGTTATGTGTCATTCATCTGGATATCTAGTGTAATTGCTAACAGATAATTAAGAGTTCTAATAGTATACTGGTAAAAGAACCTTGGCTTTGTCAATTAAATTTATTGTACTCTAATACTGGCTGTTTTTTTTTAATAATTCCTAGCTAAACTTATGTCATTGTACAATATGATGTCATGATTAAATATGATCTGACCTGATATTGTCTGGCTCAATTTTCCAAACACTTTCTTCATGAATTAATTGTTCAAGATTAAATCTATTATGATCATATTTACATAATTTCTTAAGCACATATGAAAACTATAAAAGATTTGGCACAAAATAAAAAAAAGATTTAAAATTGAAACTACTTAGAGCCAAAGAAAAACTGACAAATTATTGGGGCCATCATTGCGGCACAGTGAGTAGGGCTACACCTGTGATGTTGGCCCCTGTTCCCATGTTGGAGACCCAGATGAAGCTCCTGGCTCCTGGTTTAGGACCTGTCCTGCCATGGAGCCATCTAGGGAGTGAACCAGTAGATGAAAGATTCTCTGTCTGTAACACTGCCTTTCAAATAAATAAATAAATAAACCTTTTCTAAAAAAAGAAAGAAAAATGGCAAATTATATAATACTAGGTGACCTTGATACAGAGTCTTCAGGGTAACCCAAAGAAATAAATACAAATTTATTAGAATGTAATGAACTTTGTTTTATTATATTTATCCTAAATCTTTTCATCTAAAATTGATTACTATTTTTCCTGAATAATCCTGAGGGTTATATATAGTATACATATAACATCTATTATAATGGCAAGCATGATATATATATTCAATAAACAGTACGTATGAGTATTATGATGCTGCTGGAATTCTGAGTTAGTATCTGCATTTTGGAATATATGGTGGAAGAAAAGAAACTAAATAGAGCTTCATAAAGAGGTTTCAGAATCAGCCCTAAAGGCATTCCAGTCTGGCTGGAAAGCCCAGGAGGAGCATTTCAGGCATAGAAAGCCAAGAGACTCCAGAAGAAAAAAGGTCCTACATAAAGGACCCCTGTGGGTAGGACCCCAGTGGAAAGAAACGGCCACTTTTCTCTTAAGGGAAGAAAGAACTTCCACTCTGCTGGTGGCATTGTCAAGCCAATGGAGCCAAAAGGCTTCCATGTCAGTGGATCCAAAAGGTAGCTCATGTCAAGAGCCTTGGGTGATCGCTGATGTCATACATAAGAATGTTATTTGTTAAGTAAACAACAAGAGTCACTGTGCACTAACTCCCCATGCAGGACCTCTGTCCACAAAGAGTTGTATCATGAGACTTAATAGTAAAACTTGTTCTCAAGAATCACTTTCATTTAGCATATTAAATGGAGGATAATACTATGTCTCATAAGTTAAAGTTATGTCTAAGGGTTCACAAGAGATGTACCATCCTTTGGTTCTTCTTTAAAAACAATTAAGCTTCTAAAAGGAAAGGAGGAGGAGGAAGGAAGGGAAGAGGTAGGGGCAGGACAAAATCACCTTTGAGAAGCAATAACATAGACCAGCCCTTGTCTAGACTGTTGAGGTTCAGTTCTCTTAGTTTTTTTATTCCATTCTTCCTTTTTTCTTTCTTTCTGCTTCTTTTTATTCTCAGACTAAACAGGAGAGGGAGGAGGAAGGGGGAGAGAGGGTGGGAGGGCAGGTATGGTGGGAAGAATTACTATGTTCCTAATATTGTATTTATGAGAGACATACAAATAAAAAAAAAGAAACCTTAATTTAAGAAGTTCAGAGGTATTTTTACAGTTCTATGTTTATATTTAATATGTCATTTGTACATAAATACGGTATTCTATAACATAATAATTGCTTCTGATAAATGACAACCATCTTAATCTTTAGGGACTAATAAAAGCCAACAAACCACAAACTGACATCCATCCCGTGCGTTTGATTGTACCAATATTTACCAAAGTATACTCCAAGATACACTGGTGATGATTCAAGATGTTTAATGTACAGTGATCCATATTTTAAAAGTTTGGGAAACCCTGAACTAAATATTTTTTTCTTTAAAGAACTTCCTAAGCCTGTACTATGCGAATAGTCAATATATCCCAGAATTATTGGTTGATCAATTTTTTGTTGTTGATCATATTAAAGGAATCACTGAAAGATATTTAGGAAACTCCAGTTGGAACAAATGCAAAATTCTTCCATTTATATTCTCGGATTCTAGTTCAAAAAATAATCAAATTAAATTAAATTAAAATTCTGTTATTTGTAAGGATTTCTCAGGCTACAGAAGAAATACAAATTGGGAAGGAAGAAGTCAAACTATCCCTCTTTGCAGACAATATGATTCTTTATTTAGGGGATCCAAAGAACTCAACTCTACTAAGAGAAATATTCATTGTTTTTAAAAAGACTTAGGCACTGACATTGTAGAACAGTGAGTTAAACTATCACTGGTGATGCCAGCATCCTATACAGGCATTAGTTCAAATCCTAGCTGCTCCACTTACAATCCAGCTCCTTGCTAGTTCCAGTTTAAGTAATTTCCACACTGTTTTCCACACTGGCTGTAGTAATTTACATTCCCACCAACGGTGTGTAAGTGTTCCCCTTTGTACACATTACCAGCATTTGTTACTCTCTGTGATTTGGATTTTAGCCATTTTGACAAAGTTGAGGTGGTATTTCCTTGTCGTTTTGATTTGCATTTCCCTGACAGCCGGCAATGTTGAGCATTTTTGCATGTATTTGTTGGCCATTTGTATTTCCCGTTTTGAGAACTGTCTATTGAGGTCCTTTACTCATTTATGCATCCAATAATTGAATTCCTGTTACCCATGTGGGGATTTGGACTGAATTGCTGCCTCCTGGCTCTGCCCTAACCCAGACCCAACCACTGCACACACTTTGGAGAGTGAATCAGTGAATATGGTATCTGTCCTCACTCCTTTCTCTCTCAAACAACAAACAGAAAACAAAGAAGTAAATAAATACTCTGATGACCAAACAAAACATATCCGTGGAGGAGATCCCAGATGGCTCATAGTGAGAAGCCACATTGACTTCAGCAGCAGTTGGACATGAAAAATACAAAGAACCACGTTTCCAGAGGTCTGACAGAAATTTTCAGTGAAGTGACAGAACAAAACATAGACTCTGTGGGACAGCAAAGAAGGAAAGACACATTGCTGAGGCCAGCCACGTAGCGTAGTAAGCTGCCAGCTGGGAGTCACCATCTTCCCACGTCACGGTAGGAAGAAGTTGCCCTGATCAGTCACTGGTAGCTTTAGCTGAGGGAGAATTCCAGTCACTCACTGACTTTAACCCCAGCCAGGGGAGCTGACTCAGATCTAAACAACTGTTTGTCCCTAAGAAAGGAAATCACATTGCCTATTTCCCCTCCCCCACCTCTGCAGAGTGCTAGAATCAGTTGGCTGAGAAAAATCACACAGCTTATCTCTGTTCTGCATGATCAGAGCCAGAATCAGTGCAATGTGCAGAACACAGAATTGATCCCTTACATCCTGCAACTGTGAGACTTTGGGTCGTAAGCCCTGGATTCAGGGAGGTTCACCTCAGCTTCATGGGGCTAGCAGTAGCAGCAGACTATTAAAAAATCCAAACCAGACTTCAGAAAGTTCCCTCTAGCTCAGGGT